TAATAAAATATTTGATTGACTACTGTGATAATACGTAAGTGCTGCCACGTTGGAGGTATAGCTAAAAGATATGCTGATTAAAAATATATCTCACAATGGCATTTGCAGTGGTATACAGCGAATAAAGTTTTTACAACCAAATGTTATAAAAGACAATCTCCGGTGTCCTAAAGGACAGCAATAAGTATATCTAATATTTCTATACTTATAATAAAAAACGGTATGGATACTGTACGTCAACCTCATAATAAAAGATTAGTTGTACCTGTAGTTTTTTCATTTAATAAGTTAGCTAATATCTTTCAATTTGTTGGCTTTTGTTCATTTCTGAAGGAATGTGCAACATTTTGAAACGATCACGAATATTGAATTAAAAAAAAACGTATAAATAAAAGTGAAATGTAATTTTTTAAATATTTATGTAAAACTTTGAAAGCAGATGATTTAAGTGTAGAAAAGGCACACGAAGTAAAGTTTAAAAATCATCTAAAAAGTTCATGTATCAGTAATCGTTTACAATTTTTTCATGGGAACGTAAATCTAATGATATTTCTAATTGTAACTATTGAGCCGATGGTGTACTCATCGATGACCTTCTTGTGGGAAGAACTTATATTGAAAGTTCTGTATACATCCATAATACCTCAAAAAATAAATATATCCAGGTGGAAAAGTATCTTTTTATTTACTTTAGAATTATCCTAAAAAATCGTTGCACATTTATTACACATAATATTATACCTTATAAATACGTCAACATCGGATGGTTATTATAGAGTCTGAGTGAATCTCTCATTAGTTATGGATTCGAAACCAAGTATAAACCAGTTCCCTGCGACTTATCGGAAGTATATTCATACGGTTCGTCAACGTAAGCGAGGCAATCGAAATTGTTATTGTATTAGTTTTTAATTAAAAACACTTCGTAAACGTAATTTGATGATCATTCCTCGGAATCATTACAGTTCTATTTGTGACAATTTCCATGCAAACAGTTAGAAAACACTGTGAATGATGTGCCGAAAAAAATATGTTGCCCAATCGCATAATCAAATTAGAAGACGCTTTCTATGAGTCCATTAGAATAAGTTAAGCTAACGAGAAAACTTGATTATGCAATATCATTCGAAGCCCATCACGTATATTATCTTTCTTTCTCAATCAATATGCGATGCATTCTCATTTCCTGTTCTTTTACGATTCGCATAAAAGCAGCGTTGCTTACCAATCCGCTTCTATTCAATGCTACAATCTTGAGCGTTTAATAATATCCTTGTAAGTGCAAAGAATATCAGTGTAATAAGTGACGATATCACGATGAAACATATCCGGATACTGTTGTTTTTATTGCTGCTGATGATTGCCGATGGGTCGACGTATAGATTTGGTGGCGGAGGCCATCATATTATTCATGCTAATTCTCGTCATGGTAATAATAAAACGCAGTGTCCAGAGGGGCAGCGCTTCAAGGAAGGCAGCTGTAGGAAAATCGTTTAATTCGTCCGGCAGCACGATAATATAAGTCAATATTTACATATGTATATTTGCCACACTTTATTGAATATATACGTCTACTAGTTATAAAATATGGTTTTTATTACCTATTTTGTGTATAATCTTGCGTTTTTGTAGTTGCATGCATGGTGTACGCAACAAACATTCGTTACGAAAAAAATTAATTTTTTAGCTACTTGTATAAATTAACGCATGCATAGCTTTTTTGACATCGATTATTATTAAAAAAAATTGCCAGTTTTCTTTCTTTCAATTTTGGTAGAAAAAAATTGTTTCGAGTGAAAAAAATCAATGGTTTGGTATCTGTTTTCAAATTTTCCATTGTCGAAAACACGATTAAGATTGCCATGATCAATATAATAATTGTTTTTTTAACCGTATTGATTAGTACGTTGATGACGCATATCTGGATCAGTGCAGAAAATTTAGATCGGTAAGAAGAGAAATTGTACGCATATTTTATATTAAAAAGTCGACAAACGAAACACTCCTCTCGCTTTTTATTAATTACTTTGATGACGTACAAGTTTCCCGATTTACGTATAAAATCTACATCTTCTCTCAAGTGTCCTTCATTTTCTACCTCAAGTAAGTCCAGTGAACATATCAGGTTTTTTTTCGGCTTATAGGTGAAGTCATAGCGTTTGTTAGTGCAGGTCAGATGAAATTCGTTTGGAAATTATTTCTTATGCTCGTAATCATGACGATCGCAGAATCGGCAGAAGGAAAAAACTACAACGCAACAGTGGTAGAAAAAACAGTGTATTATAAATTTCCGAAGCATGACTTCATAAAGATTCTGCGATCCACATTCTGCGTGTCCCAAAGGATACGGAATGATAAGAAAGGAATGTAAAAAAATGGTTTAAACTTTTGAAGTGGTGATAATAATAGCGAAAAAATCATTCGTCTTGTGCCCAGATGATTGTCGTTAAATAAATTTGAGTGAAGGAAGAAACGTCTTTTTTTCCTATATTTTCCTTATTGAAAAAGTATCGTGTTTTGCTGAAAGAAATCACTTGGCCTCGACGCACATTTCAATGACAAACGAATATACATTTGTACAATTTCGATCAATAAATCAATTTTCAATAAATTTAATTTATAACATTTCTATATAAACATAACGAAATTTGCCTCGCAGAAAGGATTAAAATTTATATCATATCGTATATCGCCTAGCACTTATTTCGATGCTGCTTTCATAAGTTGGGTTTTTACATTTTATTCGCGGGAATTTTTTTCACAGAACTAATACTTTACAGTTGATGTATTGATTACCCGGAAACTCTGCACGCTAATTTTCTTGTTAAACACGATACGATGATATCGATATACATACGAAGGCATACAAGTAAGCCCGAAGCATTAGTGCTGAAAGCAAGTCGTTAAAGTGAAATAAATATAATTATGAAGAAAATCCTCGCGGTAAATGCATGGCTTGAGAAAAGGCGAATGCGCGATGTAGAAGCGAATTCAAATAGAAATACAAGAAGCAATGCAAATGGTCGTTGCTCATGATTGTCGGACTTCTACTCACGTTGCTATCTACGTCAGCTCAGAGAGATTTCAATAAAGAAGATATCATAATCGGAAAGGAGCAATGCCCTGGGGCTTACCGGTAAATTGGAAAGATGTGCCGAAAAATTATTCGGCAGCGTTGGCTTTTTCGGGGAATTCAAGATGCTCAACTTGAACCAATAATCCTTTTTGTAATATCAATTATTTTGAGCGACTAGATTTTTCAAACTGGCAACACGCCTGCGGTAAAGGTTTTTTTCATTTTAAATTATACATTGTTCGTATAGTGCTGAAAGAGTCGTCATTTGATTAATAGTTGAAAACAGTCGTAAAAATAAGTGTTTATCAAAACTTTTCCTTAAAGCCTATTATTGAGAGAAGCAAAACCATGGAAAAATGCTAAGTTGTTCTCTGAGTTTGCTGTTTTAATCTGCAATTAATTTTGTTTTCCGGAAGCTTGTAATTTATGATATTAGGAAAATCATTGCAAATTCAAAGTAACGTTACAAAAAAAAACAGTATAGACAGACGGAGGTATGTATAAGAAGGTTTGACTATAAGATTCTAACTTAGTTTTAAGAAACCACTCGAGTAGTACGGTAGTTTTGAATGCTCGTATTACGGAATTTCGTTTAAAGGCACGAAGGTAACGTTGCAATGCTGTGATTTACAAATTGCGAAAGCATTTTCAGAAAATTGCGATTAATTGTACGGTTACTTTGAGATACACAGATAGCGTCCAAATGTCGAGCAGATGGATGTTCCCGATATTGCTGGGGATTATGTTGATGCTGCTCTTCGCATCAGCCGAAAACGATTTTCACAAGACAGACGTGATAAAAGGGCAGCCACGTTGTCAAGACGGCTATCGTTATATCGATGGAACGTGTCGTAGAATTGCTAAAAGCGGATAGAATAAATCTTTCGCATGTGTAAAACAATTGTTTCCTTGCCATTTAATCCTGGATAACTGTTCCTTTCATTTTTTTTCTTTCAAAGAAACAAAAATTAAATGCTAAATTGCGACAATTATTCCCTTTCGGTGCGTGTTTCTCTCCTACGGTTATAAAATTGACGGAAAAGTCACTCTAAAAATCATTCGTCATGTGAGCGATTCACCAACGTTATTGGCCGTGCCAAGCGCATACACCCAAGCAATCATAAGGACATAAACTCTTCGGTAAAAACGCAAGCATGTACCGGCGAAAACGAGTAAGCGACTGATGGGAAGTGTCTCCGTCTCGCGTATACGCGCGAGGACGTCGTAATCTCGGAGAGTCTGAAGTACGAGCGCGACGACTGGAAGTTCTGGTCTGGGAAGCACGCGCATACATGCAGAGGCGTGTCGTTCGGCAAAATTACCTCGTAATCTTCCTCTCTCTCTCTCTCTCTCTCTACCCGAAGTTGATTAATGATCTGCCTGCTTCTTCTCCTCGAGCGTTCGCGGCGGCGGTGGCGGCGGCGCTGTTATCACGCGTAATGTTTCCGTAACGCCGGTAATTGCATTACCGTAATGGAATTACGCGATGGATGCTGCGAGACGGCATAGCTGGAGCGTTCATTCGTTCGGTGAATGTACGCAGAAGTTGGCGTTCAACGATCAGAAAGTCATAAAATTCGCCACAAAACTTGCCCATAATTCATTTGACAGCAATTGTTATTATTTGCACTTGAAAATGATTCGTACTGTTAAATATTACGTTGCGTAGCTATTCGGGAACGACCTTCATTAAGCATATCGCGTGCAAAGAACAAATACGTATCTGAGAACGTCAATATTTGTTATATATACATTCGCAAGATGCTTCTTTCGTATACGTCTTCAAAATTATTGATACATTTTGCCCATAAGCGAAGCAAAGAAAAAAGACGTGCCGCGACGATTTACAATCGAGATATTTACAATCATGCCAAGGAAAAGTGAAAAATGTCAATTGCAATAATCACGTTTGTCGTACTTCCAGGTGGAGAATGAGTGCGGCGAAATTCCAACGGTCCTAGTGCAGAACAAAATGGACTTGGTCGATCAATGCGTCATCGATCCGTGAGTAATACCGATTATTCTCTCTCGCGTATGACAACCCTGAATTCCGTAATTGTCTTGTTTCTTTTATTTGGAGCGTAACAAAGCCAAAGTCTCGTTGGCGAAGCACCTTGATTAACGACTTTCCACGCGCTTTTTAGAGACGAGGCTGAACGGCTGAGCCGAGCGTTAGGCTGCAAGCTCCTGCGCACCTCCGTTAAAGAGGATATCGGGGTGATGGGTGTGTTCCGTCATCTTGCCTCGAGATGTATCTGCGAGATGCGACGCTACGACGAGGAAGACGACTTCAGACTGTACACCACGGTGCCGAGAACTGCTTCCGTTATAAGTATGCCTCGCAAGTGTTTGCGCGATGGCGGCAGAGCCATTATTTCACCTTCGAAGCGGAGTCGTGCAGCATCGGAAAAAGCGCAACGCGCGAATTTCAAAGGCCGAGAGAAGCCTAGCGCCAACGCGGTCGCGCAGTCGATCGAGCGCACACGCCCGTTCGGTCGAACACCAATGCTATCGAAGCTACGCGGTACCGCTGTACTGTTAATCCCGTCTTTCAATTAATTCTCGCGCTTGCCTGCTTCGCCGCGAGCGCACGCGCATCCACAATTACGTTATTTCGATTACGCGCGAGCCAAGACGAAAAGAAACGCTTCGGAAACTCGATATTCAATGCCACCGTTACGATCTACGAGATGCATCTCTTGCCAACAGGTTTTAAACTTGAAATCGCGACGGACTTGCATGCATAAAGCGCATCGCGTATTATTGAGTGTGAAACGATATCGAACGGTCTCGAGCGTCCCCCGGTTCGAGAACTCAGTTTAGATAAGAATGTCCCATCCGTGCATAATCGATTTCTAAAAGATTACTCTATCGTAAATCGCCATTATCAGAGCAATAACAGTTTGTGCGGCACGAACGTTATTACCAAGCTTCTACCGGCGAACCGAGTAACGTAATTTAATGCTCGGTAGCTCGCCTCGCGCCAGCGTATATAATTTCTCATTGTGATTAATCATGAAATCGGGTTTTTTTGCAATCTTTCCGCTTACGTATATGTATAATTCAATTACACATACGTATCTAGTTTGTTGATTTCGTGATTTTCAGTTCAGTTCAGTACATCAAGAAACTACGTTAGCCTGTCGAGCTAAACCTATAATTACTTTTAATAATTAAACGGCTAGTTATTTCACGTTGTCGACATATCGTAATTTTTTTATGCTGAATCACATGTACGAAAATCAACGAAATTTCTTGGTAGTCCTCGGTATTAATTCCATCAATACCAAGAGAGTAGAAGTCAACTTTGCGCTAACTCGTTCGCAACGGTCATCAAACAGTATTTCAATTACTACAAAAAATAAACTCACGATGCACTGCCATCAATGTAAAAGGCCGCGAATAAAGGTACAAAAATGTCTCCGCAATTCTCCGTGGCACAAACTTGTGGAAACAACAAGAAGCGCGTGACTCGTGTAACTGTAATGGAAAAGAAAATGTATACGCAAGCGAGCTTTTTTTTCGTGGAGCACGCGATCACTTTTTTTTTGTGCAAAGTAAACGTGGCCTGATAAAATTAGCCAAAGTACCATATTTTAGATTCGTATCTTTCTATTGGCGTTGAAAATCGTTTCCCTCGAACTTACAAACATGAAATACGAGAGCTTTTTAACGAACGCAGGTATTATAAATTTTTCACGAGCGATCACAATGAATTAAAAGCTCGGAAACAACTGTATAACTGTGATAAAATATTAGCGATCGAACAACGCAGGCGTTTCATTTATTCAATGCGCAATAATGTTTTCAAAGAAAAATGATTACGCGCACACGCTTAATTTAGACATGTACCTTTGACCTTTCTCTTATATACTTGACCAAGAAATTGCTGCATAGATACGGTACGTGAATTTAATGCTAATTTATTCGCAAATAATTTCTCGCTTAATAGCTCAATGTGCAGACGTTAGGCCACGGGCGATGATAAACGTGCACAATTTTTACACACACAACCCCGAAATAGTACAGTTGCGCTAAAACGCAGAGTCTACTAGCAAATCAATCGATATTTCGCTGTTAATATTTATTTATTCAGAGTAAACTGTAAACGCGCTGTTTTGTGTGCGACTGAACACATTGCCCCTTGGGTTGTAAACGCGCATCCCCGGCAAAAATTATCATTGCAAATTCTCAGTTGTTCCCTAATTATGTTTTACGATGCTGTAGGATCAATTCGTCTCTAAATGAAATCGCTAATGAACCGGTAATTACTATTCCAGAACTTCCTTCGAGTGTATTCTAAATTTTCTTGCGAGGAACAATCCAAACTTGCATATCGAAGGATCAAATTGAAAGAGCTAATTATCTTGTTGAATATATAGAAAATAATTGCACTGTGCGTAATAAATTCGAGAACCAACCTCGTATCAACAAACTCGCTCTGTCGCATCAACCTTTTGTTCTGCAGCCAATTCATTTCGCACGTGTACAGTTTGCGCAAAGCGCATTATCGTATATATATCCACAAACAGGCAATGCAGTTGGTCACGCGAGGCGCCTCACCCTTTAATTATCAGATGGACAGTAGACGCGCCACGCTGCACGAATTTCTCAAAGAACTGGGCCATCGAAAGATTGCATTTGCCGCGCAAGAAAGCCTTTGTCGTTATTATTACTATACTTGGCGGAAGCGACTCTAGCATGCATTACCAGTGTCCGGTTTTATCAAGCTGCTTTTTTCTTGTTATTTATTTATTTATTTATTTTGTTGTTGTTATTTTTACTTATTTTTTGTTACACTAATTGATTTCTAGTCTCTGCAGAAAAATTTAATTTTATGGCCTTGAAGAATATTTTGTTCATTATCTAAAAAGTGAAAAAGAATTGTTCAACTAGAAAAAGACTAGACTTTATATAATATAAAATCATATAATTATTTCAAATATTTTTGGAACAAATAATACGAAAATTATTTAAATGCTCTGCATCACGATAGACGATTTTTATTACCTTTCATTTTAACGAACGGTGATCATTTGTAAATATAACCAGTAGGGTTTCTATGTTTATTTAATTCAATGCTAGAAATATGCAGGTGACTTTTATTATTTTTCAAGATAACTTTTAGAAAATGTGTTATGTAATACTTTTATATTCCGAACTTTATTTTTATTTTTAGATGTTTATTCTCACGAATTATTATTACAAATTATAATTTAATAAAAAATAGATATTTCCTATAACAAGTTTTCTCTAAAGATTTGTATATAATTCACGACTTAATAATTATCAATTCCTCATTGATAGCCACATATTGTACGTACAGCAGCGTTACCGCTGCAACATTTTTTTCAGGATTCCCCGTCGGAAATAATTTTGTATTAAATTATAATAAATAGAAATTATCAGTTAGTAACATTTGCTAACAGTTATTTATAATTTATAAGCGTTTATAAACATCAGATTTTTTACACATATAACAATTATAAAGATATATTTTCTGCTAAAAAACTGTTATTAAATGATTATTAAAATTATTATTTGATAATTATTAATTATTAAATAATAAGTTTTTTCAGTTACTAACGGTTATTTACATTTTTATTCACTGAAACAAATTTATTTTGAAAAATAGTAAATGCAAATAACTATAAATAACTGCAAATAACAGTGATCATCAATTATCTATTGGAATAAAAAACTAGTAACTATTATTTGCAGTTAATAGTGACTATTAATTTGCCAGTACCACATATGAAAAAATTACTTATAAACGAAAAAAATTAAATGACAATAATAATATATAAGTGATTAAAATATTTCTTAATTATCAGATATGATAATTAACTATTCATTACAGTTATAAACAATTATTTACATTTTTTAAATTGATTAAAAAACTGTTCATAACTGCTATTAATAGCAAATTTTTTTATGATAAAAAGGTGCATTTTCGAAATTGTCTATAACTATTGGAACTGTATATTATTATTACTGATATACTAGAATATATTATTACTATTTCTAATATATTAGAAAAAAAACTGTTAATAACTGTTATACGTATCTAAAATCTGACGTTTCTAAACTATTTTAAACTGCAAGTAACTGCGTGCTACAGTTTTACGTAAAAATTATTTCCAACAAGGTCTTTAGATATTATTGATTACATTGAATGGGATAATTTCTAGGGACCCTGAGAAAAAATTTTCGAGTGGCAACGCTGATTTACAATAAGCGACATTGTGACATTTCAACAAGTATTATTTGTATTGGTACTAACAAATGTAACTAGATACTTCTAAAGGCCCTCGTACGCGCGCGTATGCGCATATGAGGCGAGGGCCTAAGGCCCCGGTCCCATACGTACGGATGCGGACACCCTTGCGAAGACAGCCCGACAAACATGTAATGTAAAAAAAGAAAATCATCATATCTTATTTATTTTTAATTGTACATGATAGAAAACTAGTTATTTTTAATTGTACCATTTTAATTTTGCCAAAAATTAGCAACAAAGGGTATTGAATATTTGCCTTCAATATATTGCCTTTGGAAGGAAAATATTTAAAAAATGAAATGGCAGAAAAATTGTACCTTCTGTAAATTAAATTGTACCATCCGTAAAATAGCATAAATTTACTTAGAAAATAAATAATATGAAAACAACCAATTGACTTCATGCGCACAGTGTACTTCCGGATACGTTACTCATAATAAATGTCAATTGGTTGTTTTCATATTATTTATTTTCTAAGTAAATTTATGCTATTTTACGGATGGTACAATTTAATTTACAGAAGGTACAATTTTTCTGCCATTTCATTTTTTAAATATTTTCCTTCCAAAGGCAATATATTGAAGGCAAATATTCAATACCCTTTGTTGCTAATTTTTGGCAAAATTAAAATGGTACAATTAAAAATAACTAGTTTTTTATCATGTACAATTAAAAATAAATAAGATATGATGATTTTCTTTTTTTACATTATATGTTTGTCGGGCTGTCTTCGCGAGGGTGATGCGGACGGATACGGACGCGAATCGCAACTCTAGTAACATCACTAAAAATATATTTAGTTCGATTATTTAGTACCAACACTACCGGTAGTGAGCAAAAGTAACTGTTGTTTAAAACTGTAACGCCGAACGTACCACATTTAATGTAACGCCTATCTAACCTTTACATTATTGCAGTCTATAAGATGGCAAATGATAGAGAATTGATAGACTTTCAACTACAATTAGTGGAATTAGGCCTTAATTTTATGGAAGTACTTTAATATATGAGAAGAAGAAAATATATATAAATGATATGTATTAATCATTCCAAAATCCTTTTTTTACATTAGCATACTCATCAATAAGCAATATTCATGAAAATTTGAAAAGTAAATTGTAGACCTGACATTTGAACATTAAATGTGGTACGTTCGGCGTTACAGTTTTAAACAACAGTTACTTTTGCTCACTACCGGTAGTGTTGATACTAAATAATCGAACTAAATATATTTTTAGTGATGTTACTAGAGTTGCGATTCGCGTCCGTATCCGTCCGCATTCATACGTAGCTATGGGACCGGGGCCTAAGTGATTCTACCGGAGTCATGGGCATTCATACGGAAGCATATATATATGCATACGTATTTAGGCCTTAAAGAACTTTCCAAAATTAGGTGTTTGTCACAATATGGGGCGAAAAATATTGCCAATAAACTGATTTTACTCCAAGAACTGTCCATAGCTCTCTCTAATTGTAAAGTATGCAATGAAGTATTAAGCCACACGTTTATTTATCAATTTTATCGTGATTACTGTTTCGCACATGAAATAAACTTACTTGATCTTCTTTCACGTTATTGTTATAAAAGCGTTTTACCAAAAAAAAATTTATTTTTGAGAATGAAATGAAAGTATCATTATGGTAATGTTTCGCGTCGAAAAAAGTTGTGATGGATTTTAAAGATGTTTAACGTAAAGAATCTATAATATCAAGAAACCGATTGTATAACATTAAACATCGGTGAAAAATATTAAAAATTAAAAGGTCGGTGAAAGAGACCCTATATAAGTTCGATAAGCGTGCGTTGCGAAAGTTGTCAGATAGAATACTCGCATTTAAATTCCATATAGTCCATTACTCTGTTCAAAATGTTATCGACGTTACACGTGGAAACTGTTTGTAGTATTTGATTACATAACTGTAAATTAATTACTACAATATGTATATTATAAAAATTAAATCCAAAATATAAAATGGAACTTCATTGGAATAGTTTTAAAGCAAGTGTAACTTACGAACTATTTTTTATTTCAGGTGCTTTCAGTCCAAACGGATCGATACTCGGTCGCAATACGGGTAACGGGACGATTGTACTTCGAGCAACTGGTAAAATGAGGCACCACAAGAAGAAAAACTTTGTTAAAAACGCTTGTCGACTACTTTAGCGTTGCTTTGGCTTAACGGCAAAATTCAAAAAATTCTTGTTTGTCAATAATGTGACATAAGCGAATGAATTTTTAATAATAAGAAACGACGAATGATTTTTAAAGAGACTTACAACTTTTATAAATACGCGTATAAGTTGTGTAAATACTCGGAATATATTTTTGTTCCACAGCCGATTATTATGTATAATTAAGTAATTCAACATCATGAAAAAATGGACACATTTTGCCTCGAGTTATTAATATTTTTTCAATGAAATGAACTGAGTGTGCCAATTTTCAGCGTTGAATAATTTTCTTGAATGATTTATTTGATTTAAAAAAAAGTCTTGTACTCTACGCATTTCAAAAAAAATGTGTAAATATGTAAATATACGTTGCTTTAGATCTACCTGAAGTTAAAATTATTTGAAACAAGTTATGCGATAAAAGTTTTTCAATTTTCCACCACATATGATTATGTATTTAGATGCTTATTGTTCTTATAAGTGTAGGTGTAATGACTAAGATTTGTACGATTTTGAGTGCATGTTTTTTTTATTTACGTAAAGAACAATAGCGTTTGTGGCATATAATGTCCAGTTATTAACCAAATACATTTAGTCAACTATAAAATCACTGTTATAAGTAATTGGTTCAAATACGGATTTCCGTAACTAATCTATACGACTGAAACAATATATGTACTGGAAAACATACTGATTTTAAATTATAACTTTGGAAATAAAATATACATGATAAGCATATAATCATATTTCATTTTCTTTTATAAATTGATATGTAATACATTATTGTTGGTATCTAAATGCAAAGAGTAGAGAATTTTTAAACGGGATTAAGAAATTTTCATGTTATTAACTTCTCCACTTTCAACGGAATTTCGTTCTATAAATAAAAATTAGTGAATATTAAATGTGAGATTGATTGAATTTCTCACTGTTAATAACAATAAATACACAACTGTTGCTTTCAAGTAATCTAAAGGTAATCTACTTTTCATAGGAGCTTTAATATATTTTCAACTTTTAATTTATTACACATTTCTGCCAAACAATTTAAAAACTGTGCATTCAATACTTATCAGCAGCTCTTAAAAGTTCTGCTGACTATCAATCTAAATGTCGAACTCTTTCATATTATACACATCTTAAAAATTCTTCAGTAACATTACTATCAAAATCCGTAATTTTCAAGAATCTTTTTTTTTCCTCATTTCCTTACTGTATAAAATACTGTGCCATTAACATTCAATATATTTTTTTATACTTTAAATTCTTTTCTAAATGTCATTTAAAAAGTGTAATGTTAAACATTACCTGTTCTATATATAGTATGGAAAGTACGCTTGCGTATAATGTATATGTATACCCATACAAATACTTAACCCTAGAATAAACGAGACATTACGCGCTTTGTTAAGTTTGAAATAAATTCGTTTTGATGGAAAGGAAAATCATGGATAAACACTAATTAGATTAATGTACAATTTGTAACATCATTTTTATTACACTTTCATTGAAAAAATTTACATTTGAAATCAGAATTTCAAAACACAAGTAAAATAAATGTTACTGTTGCTTTTTAAGTATTATAAAAACATTAGAATTACTTTTATTTTTATGGGTAGAGAAATATTTTATTTATGAACTATGCAGACTATTTTTTCAGACATTTTGAACATAATTTTGAAACTATAAATTCAATGAAAATGTCTTTTGTTTTATATAAAGAATATATATAATTTACTCTATTATGATTTAATAACAGGAATGTCTACTTTTAACAGAGGATAAAATTATGCTATTAAAAAGTTATTGAAACAAATATTGTGAAAAACGTCATTACATTTAATGTACACAGAAAAGTAAAAGTTATAATTGTTCAATTGTTAATGTTCACATTAACATAAACTATTCTTCAAATACCCCAATAGGTAACTTTAGCAAGCACTTTTTTATAGTATTTTAATATCAAGCGAACGATACATAAAATTTTTTTAAAAATTAGGTTTACTTTGAAATATAATTTGATTGTCCAGAAGCCTAAAATTATTAAAGGTGTATCAATGCTTCAATTTTCAAATTGAAAATAAACTCAAGATAAATTATATATCTTTATATCAAGGAAATTTATGTGATTATTATGCTTTAAATTTCCATTTTTATTCCATATTTATTTTATATTATTTTTAAAAACGCAAATAAAGTATATTTAAAGCGTAATTTTACTATAACTTAACTTGATAAAAAAAAAAATAGAATGAAGGCAGAATAGCCCTTTTTGGATTACAAATTTCTCAAATAGACAAACAGAACTAGATATTTCAATTTGTAGAAATTAAATTGAGATTTTAAAGTGATAAATTATGATGCACCTTTTCTATTAAGCTTTATTAAAGGTATTAATAAATTATTAATTTATAGTAAATGTAAATGAATGTAATTTAAAATTTTTATTTCTTTCCAAATTTGAAAATTATATTTCTCCTAAAACAATATGTTTATTATAATATTAATCACTAATTACAGAAGACCTTATGAAATTAATTGTACCTTTTTCAAAAGTAACTAATTGTTTAATAACAAAAGAATGCGTTAATTTTCAAATATTTCAAATTACCTGTTGTGTCCTATTTTATCAGCACTTGTTTATGTTCACTTATATTAAGGCGAGATCTATCAAGTGAAATTCAAAATTCATAGAATGAAAATTATGAAATAAGTTATTATCAAAAATAAAATCATAATGAATCTATTTATATTTGAATAAGTTTCATAAATCAAGACTGCTAGAAATTTGTTGAAAAACAAGTACTGTCAAAATAGAGACATCTATAGTACTTATTTCTTCCTCAACAATTTTTAAGCACTAAACATCAGTACACTTTAAATAATGTCTTTTCACTGACATTATAACTTTAATGGCCATAATGCATGTTTGTTCAAATGCACATAGTTTAAGTCTTATTCTCAAAGTAATTACAACTTTACTCTAGTGTGATAGTGTGAACTTTGTCGATATAATCTAACAATCCTTGCAATCGTTTCTTAATTCGTTTCTGATCATCAAGGGTGCATCCTAAAATAGCATTTTCAAACATCTTATCACAATGCTCCGATTCACCCTGAGAGGAGCAAGCATTCATAAAGGAAGCACAGCGTTGTCTTGTTGCACTAGGATCATTACGAAGTCCCATTACTAAACTATCTATAAGTCCATTTACCTAAAGTAAACATTGTCAACATAATGTAAGATAAAGGGTGTTTAAACATGACAAAAATTATAATGGAGAAATAAATATAAAAATGATGTAATAATATTTTGACGCTGTCTAGGATTTCAAAGTAATTGCTTTTTGAATTGAATGATTGAACAAAAATTATCAATTTTTAATAAATACCTGGTGCAAAGCATCTTGTTGAACATCATCACGTTGAACTTTAACAAGTACATCAACTGTTAAACATCTCATGGACAGCCTCTCTGCATATCTCAAGATATCATCTCTGTCAGCTGCAAAATTCAAGTGTTTAATTAATAAAGTTTGAAAGTTTTCATTTTTATAAACTAATTGTTTATCAACAATAATGAAAAAATTAGATAAAAGTTCTTTTTTTGTAAATTATTCATAAGTCTATCAAGAAGATAGAAACTTCTATGAAAATTTTTAAATGAAGTAATATTTTTTAAATAAAATCAGTCTTGTCATGCTTTGCTCAATACAATACTTGCTAATTTTAAAAATGAACTCCAGGTATATTTTATCTGAAAAATGTATTAAACAATTAAATTTATTTATTTATCCATGTTCATAATTACTAAACTACCTTGTGCACAATTGATTGATTATTGCTTCAGTATTACAATTCATTATACTACTTGACAAATCTTAACAATCATACATCAATTTTTAGAGAGAAGATTCCATTGACGTGTAAAAATGGTATGAATTTTCAATAAATCCGGTGAAAACAAATAAAAACATTACTCATATTTTGCATGATAACGCATATATTTTTCAACGAAAAACTTACCGGAATTCCTAACCTCCGAATAATTTTTCGCGATAAATAACTGGACTACATCACAATACACGGGATTACTGATGACTGATAAATAAAATATGTCTGTTTATTCTACGTCACGTGAAAAAAACCAGTACAACGCAAAATCCTACAAAGAAACATAAAACGCAAGTTCTTGATCCATTTAGCGGTCAACGCCACCCAGCTGTGTCCAATTAATAACCTCGCTGACATTCTTCTACCAACCATTCAATTAAATTATCGCAAAAAAAGTTCGTCAAAAATCATTGGCAATAAAAAAAAAAATAATTATTTTTCTTATATAGAGGTTAAGTCGGTCGAACGTTCGGGAAAGTGCGAGAAAGATGTTTTAGATTGTATGAGTGTGTGAAAAAGAAAGAGCATGCAATTATCTTTTGCGCGTAGGCGTTGATACACGGCATGAAAAATCAGATAACAGCCACACATGTAGGCACTTTCGAAAGTATCACACAGATACACGTACGCGTACATACACACACACTCACATACAATGAATAAGAAACTCACTCTCTTCGAGATTGACGAAAACGTCGTTGTTACGAAGTGTGTCGAGGGTTGTAAGAAGAGTGTCTTTGGCTTCTTCAATTCTGAGAGCATCTTTGCGCAATTGTTCGACGTGCGTTTCAATGCAGTCGAGGATGCTGACCAGCCGGTCCTTGGGTGCACCGCCGATGTCGTCCATATTCTCGTGAATATGAGGTAGCGGACTGTTAGTGCCCATACTGCTGCTGCCTTTCCAACTTTCCGGCTGCTGTTGCTGCCTTTGCTCCTCGGCCGCAATTTTGCCGTCAAATGGGTATACTCGTTTTATTTTTGATTGTTACTTTTCCCGCTCAACACCAACGGCAACGTTTATTATTATGCCGGTTGGATACGAGCGTAGTTACAGCGCAGAGTACCAAGTGCTACTGGACTAACTGAACTGAACTAAGAAGTGCCTACAACATTTTGGCTTGCGCGCGCACATGTGTGTATGTGTGCGTATGAATGTCAGCTAAGCATGTTTATGTGTGTGATTTAACGCGAGAGTTCGCATACATTCGGGCTTTATCGTGAATATTCGCCGGCTGGTGAAAGAGAGTGACGATCGACGAAAACGTTTTGATTTTTACTAAAAACTTTTTTTCATAATGCTATCTGTAATTTTATCACGTGGTTGTCTTAAATATACATGTATACAAAAATAAATTACAATGTCAATAAATATCATACAATAATTGTTAATAGAATTATAGAAATTAACTTACTGTTTTTGACGGTCATGTACGCTTTGCGCATGCATAACTGTCAGGCAGTTTTTTCTGAAAAAATAGCTCACAGTTTCAGTAAATGAAATATCCCTTCGCTCCAGTTCATCATAAAAAATTGCGTACTGCACAAGCTTATCGGATCGTCCTCATAATACAGGTCAATATGATACGAATGTTATATTTAGAATATTATATTTACAAGGTGTCCAAACTAAGATAGTTGGTTATTGAAAAATAATTTTTAAAACTAAAAACTACATTAATTCAAGAAATTTTCCATAAAGAAATTAATTTTTCGTTCCATGTGATGAAGTCTACTGATTTGTCTGACAAAACTATAATATTTTTACTGTATATAATAGAAAAATGACTTAACGACGACTTTCATAGACATTTGTATATTTGCATTAGTTATTAATACACATTATTTTCAAAAGCATATTGCTGTGATAACTTTTTCTTTACGTATGTATCTACTACACTCGCTTCGAAATAAATAATTGACAATCTCTAACGTCACTGCATAGAAGCATTAAAGCACACCAATTGGAAGAGTCACGACAGATTGAAGCTTGCTCTAGCTGTTATTATTTTTTTTTGCGACAGGAGTCCGCGTGAGGTTGAATCTTATTAGCAACCCCGTGACGTACTATTTGCGCCCGATCTCGTATTGGTTTGATCCCAACTTCGCGCCCGCGAGCTTCTAATCGTAAACACAGTTGTTCAACGTGGTACAATAGTTGGGGCGAGTGCTAGTTATTTGAAAGATGGACAAAGGAGCTCACAGACGTATTTTACAATCAACATCGATAACTGGCAACCGATCGAATAAGAATTCACCACGAAGTCCGAGCTAGTAACCCACAGCGACTGTATGGATTAGTAGTTTCTCTGCTGATCTCTGGTATTCGTGTCCCGTCGCCTGAGAGTACAGCTCGACTCTCGCCGACATCGAGTCAACATCACCGAATCTGGATACACAGCGAAGAAAAGTAAACAGCTGGTCAACGTCGGAGGCCTTTTTTCCTCCAGTTCTTCCATTTTTAATGAAGAAATGAATTATCTTTAACGGTATTTTAGAGCTTGCACTAATCAATGTGCAGATTATATTTGCGAAATAAGTGAAATTTCAAGAGTATAATTTGGCAGTGCGCGAGCAAAAATTTACTAGCCGATGCCGCCCTCTATCAATGTTATTTCGGTTGATCGATTCGAAGATAGAAGATCCTTGTCACTACAACGGAACCATGGCAAACTCACTTCTGAGTGCCAAGAGAGTGCTTTACACGACAGCACGGTAGAGAAAACGGGTGTAGCAGTCACGCAATCGTTTTCCTATGGCAGTTTCTTGAATTAACTTTGACTTTTCGAGCGTCTTTTTAAAAATCGAACATAAATCGTACGTTACGTAGCGTTACAGTCCCGGTCGCTCTCGGCAGGCCCGACATGGACGCGATAGTGCTGACGCCGAGCAAAATGCCGCGCACCACCACGTCCGTCGAGGTCTTGCAGCCTCTGTTCAACGACACTAACGGCGACATCGAGTTCTACGCGATCATAGTCTCGAGGCTGGGCTTCGGATACAAGCGCGCGCATCGGAGATTCGATCTGAGGGACGAGGACGCCTGGCCGGACACGTCGTCGTGGAAGGAAACCGTGGAAAAGGACTTGAAGATTGCCTATCACGTCACCGAGCCTCGCTGGATACCTTATCGTAAGGACATCGGTGACGGAGTAGATTATCGCGCCGCGTATGTTGACGCGAATCAACCCTTGTTTCAGTGAACTACATAGTTAATTACGTGAGCGTAAAAGCAGTGAAGTACGTCATCGGCGAGGATGTCGCCTGTCGCGCTTTGATCATTGATAATCGTTTATACTGCAATGGCCCACTCAAACCCGGTACGACTTATCAAGTGTGGATGAGAGCCATCGCGACCAATGGATATGCTGATGCTGACTACGTGCTTGTTATAACAGGTTTGCATAGGTGAATATACAGAAATTGCGCCTGAGTTTGAAATTTCACATTTTTTTATTGTAGACAAAAAGATTAACATTTAGCTTATAATTGGAATTAAATTTGGCATTTTCTCGATGGAGTCGCGATTGCGATTTTATCAACGATAATGTCTCAATACAAGGGATAAATTTATGACAAACATTTTTTGTTAAGAAATTTAAGAAAAAAATGTGATTTTTCAGTGCACAAACAGCAGAATTTGAAACGAAATCGCGTTTGGAGAGACGCAATCAGCGACAGCCCATCAATTTCAATCTTTCCGGTTGTGAGTCAACCTCTGCTCCAATAAGCACTCGACGATGTGTTGATTAATCCAAAGAAAATTAATACAGCCACCTGGCCTTTGTTGCAACTGTACATTTTTCTGATGGATAATTATATATTTATGAAAATATAAAAAAAAATATGAATGAAATTTTTTTCATGTCAATGAAAAGATGAATTATGCGAAGAGAAAAAAATAATTTTGATTTAATGAACTCAGGTTGACAAATAGGTAGGAGTTAAGTTAAAATAATTACACACCAGGATCTTTAAATTTTTAATGTATTTATTATTATTTAAGGGCATAAGCCTATCATACAAAAGATTAATACAATGTATAAGAACAGCGCATTGTAACAATTGTAAAATAAAATATAATATTAAAAATACTGCAAATATAATTGTTTGCGGACAAAAGGAAAAAGATGTTAATAACATTAATTATTGACAAATTTAACAAAATGAGAAAGTGAAAAGGGACCCATTATTTCTTACTGTAATATTATGTAAATGCATTCCATCTTCAGTTTCAGCACAAAAAAAATTGCTTTGACTTGAAACTCTTGAAAAAGAAAATGGAAAGTTAATTAGTTAATCCTCATGGAATTCATCATCAATTCAGGAGTCTTGATATCCCATACAACTAGAAGTCCATCTAAGCTGCTTGTGCTGAATTTAGTTTTCGATCTCTTCCTAATGCAAGTTATTGTATTTTGATGTATACTATCCAGAGCGCTATCATTGATTTCTGTCCTGGCCTGTCTATCCAGAGACTGAAACTTTCTCATTGCAGTCAAACCAGCTGCTTCTTTTTTCTGAGTATTGTCTAGTTTTGAAACAAAATTTAGTTTGCCTAAATCATCAACTTTGTAAACCATTGGCATGCAATCATGGCCAGTGGCAATAATGAGACTGTTATCTAGCCAAATGCATCTTAGGAATGGCAAGTATTCCGTGAGGACACGACTAACAAGATTTCCTTTCAAGGAATCAGCAATGCATATTGATGAACTATGTCCAACCCAACAAACTTTTGTGCCACAAGGACTAAAGGCAACATCGTGCACCCATCCACCACCATTCAGAGAATTACAAAAATCAACAAACAGAGTACCAAGGGTAGAACTGTTACCCCAAGAACTATCACTGTTGCTATGATCAATGTCTCTAATGTGCGCACTAAAAACTCTCACTTTATAATCTGTTGAACCAGCAGCTAGAATTTTATTGTCTGGATGCCAATCAATGGCAGTCACAGTAGAGCGCAGAGGTTTTTTTATGTGCTTAGATACCCACCAATTGTTTTCTGAGGCAAAGTAACACACAGAAATGACCCTGTCACCAGAACCAACTGCTAGCTTGTCTTCATTAGGTGACCATTTGACACAGGTAGCTGCCCTATTTGTTCTTAACAAAACCCAGGATGGAGTCCACTTGCCTTCCTCATTCTGAGTCCAAACATAGGCATTTTTGTCAGCAGCACAGGTCACTATGCGATTAGTCTTTGGTGCCCAGTCAATACCCATGATTCGTTGGTCATGTTTCTGGAGCACCTCTGACAGTTTCCAGTTGGATCCTTCTTGCTTGTAAACGTGAACTTCGTTGTTATTGGGGCACACAGCAATTTCTGTGTGACCCTCATTCCAAACATGACAGGTGACTGCATCAAGACCCAAATTGTACACTTCAGTCATTTTCACTTTGATTACTCGACAGTGGCACTGAGTCTCGTGAACGTCAATCACCCACGTTCGATAATTTTCAAGTGTTTATCTATGATTTTGACAACTAAAAAGTTGGACTCACGACACTTGACGACAGTTCATGATAACGTGAGGTTATAAAGTTCCTCGGGTATCTAGAAAATATACATGTTATCATGATTCATCGGTTTGTTCGTCTTCGCTCACCGGCAATATCTATCCCTGTCTAGTACATTCGAATTATGTATAACTGTCTTTGTAAAATTTTCGGTCGATATTGTAGGGAACAAACTCTGCTTCCACGCCCGTGTATATACGTTTATCAATGAGACAGAAAGAGACAGATACCTTTGGAATGTAAAAGGGAGGATTGTATTACCGAAATGAAATATGTGTGAAAATTTATTATAAAATATTTTCATCATTCCTTGGTATTAATATACAGTATAATTGTTGTCTTACTCAAATATGGTATTATATAACTGATTATAAATCAATGCAAAAAAATTCTCTAAGAATTTTCATTTTATCCCGCTAGTAGTTACCAGTATAAGCACAACGCCATTAGAGGGCGTTTGTATTCAGTCTTTTTCTGAACATTGACGTGGTATCGCGAGGTACTGAATTCTAAAAATTAATTTTTTAATCATTATTTATCTAAAGAATCTTGAAAATTTATGTAAATCTGTTGTTAGTGATATTTTTTGCGAGTTTTGATTTACGATTTTACGGTGATAGTTTTTTAAGAATGCCAATTTAATAGGATCTTTTATGTTGTGTTTCAGGTCTCCTCCTACTACGTATTAACTATATAATGGTGAGTTTTATTTATTATTTAATTATTATAATACTGAATTTTTTAATAGGCTTTATCTCCATTATATATAGTTTACGATTTTGTAATATATTGTTATTTTTATAGACTTGGTCGTAGAGTATCGTTCTTTCATAAATTTACAAAATATAACCTATAGTAAAATCGAGCACGTCAATATCACTGCACATAATGTATTTTAATTTAAATTAAAGATAAAGATTTATTGAATTGATAACTAAGATTTTCATGTTTACAGCCGCGCGAAATCAAAGAAATCAAGGACTTCCTCCTGAAGGCCCGCAGGAAAGACGCCAAATGTAAGTAAAAGTGGAACATTTAAACTACTATAAAAAAACAGGTTTGGTAAATTTAGTTGAGTGATTAGTGGTTCATGTAACAAAAACCTTAACAGTAGACTAAAGAAACTTAGAAGTCTTTGCTTACAATTGTTAAATTTACTTCAACATTTATTATTTGTCAAACAATATCTATAGAAACTTTAAACCATTACTTATCAGTTTGTTAGAAATGTGTAATTTTCAGGTCTTATCTTTTTTTTCATTAATATAGGAATTTTACATAAAGAATTTATATAAAAGCCAATAAGTAATTTAAATTAAACTTTATGATTTTTAATTCTTTTATAATTAACTATAATTATAAACTATAATTACATTTATTATTATAAGTTTCTTTTTTTTAATAAATATTTCATTTATTTTATAGCTGTCAAGATAAAGAAGAATGCTGAAAATGTGAAATTCAAGGTACGTTGTTCCAGATTTTTGTATACCCTGGTCATCACTGATAAGGAAAAGGCAGAGAAGCTAAAACAGTCTCTTCCTCCCGGTAAATTGATATTTTTTTAATGAATCAACATTTAAGAAAATTTTAATAAAACAAATATTTTTCAGGACTTCAAGTTAAAGAGGTTAAGAGAAGTGAACGTGCATAATTAGACCAATAAAAACTCTTTATTAAAAAAGATGACTCATTATTTAAACTGTTCACCTAACAACATTCAGAATGCATGGTTAATTTAAAACTTGTTTAAAAGTTATAATATTAATCAATATGTTTTTGTAATAACAATTATAATAAAATCTACATAATTTATGCTTAATACTTTTTCATATTCTTTAATATAGACTAATGAGCAATAAAAGTTTTAGAATTAAAAAGAAAGCTTAATTTTTTAATATACTGTTACTGTAAATGTATAATGGAATTTTTTTTAATCACTTATGAAATATTTCATTCAAAAGTTGATCAGATTTATAAATATTAAAATCATTGAAATAATAAAATTAAAATAGGTATGATAAGGCTTAATTTTGATATGATTTCATGTATTTCAATTCAATAAATATAAATGACAATTTACGACTAATTATGAAATAATAATGTAAAATTTACTTCATAAAAATTATACATAATTTTAAGAAAATACAAAAAGTTATAAGTAATTAATCTACAATTATTACTTTTACTAACATTGACATAAATCAGACTAAGCACACTTGAAAATTAAGACGTTTTATAAGTAAAATACACATTGAAGAAGTAATATAATAATCCAGTTGCATTATTATACGTCGAACGTCAAAGATTACTACAAATATTTACAACTCACAGGTATTCAATTATTTCGAGAAGCCTTCGTACAATAATCGCCAATTGAGTTTTGACGAGAAGCGTCGGTTATTATTAAATGCCACTGAACACTAATACAAGGTCAATGTTATAAGACATGCTAATAATTTACACTTTCATATTATGCTAGAAAAAAATGTACATAGTTGAACATTATAAATGTGATATTCGTTCAGATGTATCATTAAAAAAAATTTTTGTTTAAATTATTTGGAGATCTTTATGAGTGTTTGTGCATACATTTGCACGAAACATTATTTATTGTGCTTTTTAAATATTTTTCCGTTATTATAAACTTTAGTTTATTTTTTCAAACATCCTATATTAATTGCAAATAACTGTACAATGGTTATACAATTAACATAATTATATTTTTTAAGTATTCATTACCTATAGTCATAGATGTTCATTTTCTGTTAATATCAACAGTTTGAATATTACAAATTACTAAGTAATTAAAATGGTAAAAGCGTACAACACTTAAGTTATTGACTTGTTTTCATTGAAAAAAAAAAAAGAATAAAGGAAAGAAATGAAATACAAATTCAACTTAAAAAAATGCCATGTTATCTTCAGCAATGTCCAACTCAAGCTAGATTCAATCCAAATATATCCTATTTTATTACACATCTCTTAAAATCAATATTCAATAGACAATTTGCAAAATACCGTGGATACGTTTATTAAAAAACATTTTTTAACGACACAGTTTTATCAATAGTGTCTAATAAAAAAATATACATATCGGAATAGCTTTGAACATATAAAAAAATCCTAAATCACACATCATCATTACATCATTAACAGCTTCTCAAGCTATTTACAGTAATAAGTAGATCGCGCTCAGCCTAAACAACTAACTATTTACACGCAAACGCACGCATACATTAATAGTTTTAAAAGTCTAAAGTCTGTCGCAGTCTATATCACAGAAACGGAGCTGTCCATTTCATTCTTAGTCTTGTCGGGCTGCTCGACTAGAGGTTGCTGCTGCTGCTTGTTCGGTGCCGTTTCATGGCCGATCGGAGCTGCCGCTTCCACCAAATTCTCTACCGATGCTGCAATCTGCTGTTGCTGTTGCTGCTGCTGAGGCGATTGTTGTAACTGTGTTTCGGATCGTTGACGTTGAGGTACTCGACGGATACTACTGCGTAAGAGATTTGCAACCTCGGCAGCTGTAAGGTTTGATGTGCCGTTGTTGGCAGTCTGAGGTCGACGACCTGCGTTACGATCAACTGTGTAATGGCCACGATGAGTTTGGCGAGGGTCGATCGTCGAGATTCCACGGCATATTGATCGGTCGATCGTGTTTGGACGTGCGTAACGATCGGCGCGTTGTTGACGACGTGTGTTTGCTACGTCTGGCCTCACCTGAAAATTCATAACGAATTGTATAATTTCAAAGTTGAGTATTCTTTATTAATTGAAAAACTTATTTGAAATCTTAAAAAAAATAATAGCAACGAAAAAAAATTTCCATGGTTGATTCTTTCTTAAGCATACTTTATATAGCGATTAATTTCAATTTCATGACAGTTAGTCAAAGACAAAAGTTGGCATTCCTTTAAACACGCGATAACGATAATGTTACATCGCAATTTGAAGAGTGAATTCCCTTTCAAGCGTGATCAAATAGAATGCTTGCTTTTCTTGTATTCAACTCCGACAGTAATTACCTCAGCAATATGAATAGCAACATCCCTCGACGAAACGCTCTGGTTCATCTCAACTAACACAGTGGCGTAATCCGGTGGCGGTGGCTGTTGTTGTAAGGGCGGTCTACTTCTCGTAACAGCAGCACTTCCACCTTCGCCAAGAACATTTGCTATCCTTCTAACGCTGCGCCTGAAACTTTGCCTCAGCATTTTGGCGATACGAGCACCGGTTGCCGTCGTATAACTCGGTGGCGGGGTGTACTTTGGTGGCGGATCCTCGAATGGTAATTCCGTAGTACTAGAGACTAAACCATTCGTACCGCTGTGGTGGCTTGATATGCCATTTGCACCGTTCAAATGCGTTTGGCCATTTTGCGGATCATCAAGGTCGAGTGATGGCCTATATAACAGCTGAATCCTCTGCAATTGGAAAATGTTTGTGGGTGAGATATTGCGAGTTTAGGCGTTGAAAGCGTGCGAAAAAGCTCATAAAGTCGTGATAGAGAAATGGCTGGGCTATTATGTAGCTTATTCGCAGTCGTTCTATAGAAGAATTGGTAGATTATGGTTCCTGCTGAAAAATGGCTTTACAAAGAAGAGAGCGTAAAACGACGAAGCCAACGTAGCGATGAAAATACCTATGACATGACATCGGATTTATAACAATTATCTTTCCAAGCATCAAGAATTCTTCAAGTTTAATTTTTGAAAATGGAGAAAAGCGTTCTTTTTGCGTGAATCTCAAAGTGTAGTATAGTAAAAAAGCCAAACGTGACGAGTGATAGCTGATTTTTAGGTATAATCCGCAAAATTCCTCATGCAAACGATCTCTACTCTCGGAAAGATATTTTTAAACTTACACCATTGCACTGATTGCAGTGACTTAAATTCACCTCCACCTGATCACCCTAATTAAGTGAATAAGTGAATATAGGTAAATACACAGGCTACGGATTAGTAATTGACACATTCTCAACGGATCTTTTGATGACATCGATAAATACTTACGTCGAATATGTCGGGTGGTCCACTGTTGAGGTAACGACAGGTTTGTATAATCGCGACCACGGGTATCATTAGAATCGGTATCAACTGTATTGATCCACCTAATTGTCTTGCCCAAACTGACCAGTAGTCGCTCTTCGTACGGCGATAGGTGTAAAGCTCTCGATAGCCGGCATTTTTGAATATTGATATACTCAGCACCTGCAACAGAATCGAAAATTGACTCATTGCTGATATTTTCTTTTTATCCGTATGGCGATTACAAGATTAGTTGAGCTCTGAGTCTTAGTCATTTGTAAGTAAGGCTTACTTTCACGGCCAACAACACAGTCACCAACCAAGGTTATTTCTATGTGTATCTGGAAGCGAACCATGCCGCGAGTGATCCCCAATAAAGCACTTACCATAAGCGTGATAGGCAACACGACGTTCCAAGTAAAGGACAACAAGGGAGCAGCCCAATACTTGAGACAGCGTCCAGTCGGTGGGAAAAGTTCGGCGACGACAGCTTCACCCGTGTGTGGTCGTCCACGTACAGCAAACACTGCGCCGACTTGCACCAAGTAAAGTACGATGATCCACCATCCGCCGCCGACTGTGTAATCTAGGTAGTACACCACGTAGATTCCCATCTGAAAGGGAAATTCGTTTTTATCGTTTGAGCATTTGACATTTTTTTATCGACTTTTTATATTGACGACATGGGAAGAGTTTCAAACGAGGCAATCTCGATAGATAGAGTAGATTGAGTTATTTCAAAATTGCATTCGACAACGATGCTATATTTTTTCCTAATTCTTTTAGGACGTATATCAAAAGTCTTTTTGTAAGCATCACTAACGGTATCGGATATGAAATAGAGAAGAGGAAACAGATAGTATTCCGAAAGAAAAGTTTCTATTGTTTTTTCGTGAGGAATGTGTTACACATTGATTCACACTACTTTTTACGATAAACAATTTTTTAAAATAGATATGAATGCTACTTAGAAATCAGGTCGTTGACTCAATTACAAGCTCTCTTACAGTTCTCGAACTAACCATGTTATTCATTCGATCTGATTTCAACGCTTCTCCATCTCAATTTTTCATGAACTCAAACTAAAGACACGGTAGATCCGTTGAACTTCAGCTCCTTCACTTTAATTTCCAGAAACATCACGTCATCTCTGGTATAACCCGGATGCCTAGCAATTGTCGTGTGCGGTATGAACATGTATAAATCAGAATTATGCTCAAGTTCATCATTTGCTCTTCCTTTTTTCACAGTTTTCACAAACTTCTCCACGTCGTTGATTGGATTATCCTGATCTTTAAGAATAACATCAGCTTGAATTGTACAAGGCCAATCGAGCAAAGGGTCCCATTTACCATCTACGATCCTCAAACATCCAATGATATGTCGATTTTTCCACTGTCCCAGCCCATTCAAATACAGTTCCATTCTCAAAGTGTAACCGTACTCTTTGGCATAGAACATCGGGCTAAACAGTGCGTTGTCGCTGCGTTTAGCTTCTCCCAATCTCTCGTTATAATTATCGATTCTCCAAATTAATCTTCCGACTGGTGCACTGATTTCTCGACAGCCACACTCGTAGAACTGCACGTTGTGGTTCGTCTTCACCTCGTTGACGATCTCCTCGATGTACTCCACGTTTTCTTTCATTTGAAACTTGAGTGTCTTGCAGTTGGTCGCTTGTTCGACAATTTGCTCGCTTTGCTGGTGGAATCTTCTTTGCAAATTGTCGATTCTGTCGAACAGCTCATTGTACTGGGCGACGAGTTCTTTGGACAGCTTACAGCGCATCTCTAGTTCTAGTCGCATATCGTGTACGTACTGAGTTTGTTCTTGCCAGAGTCGACAAATCGTTGTATTCTCCGCTGTGAAATTGGCCCTCAACTCCTCCAACACCGAGTAACACTTCTCGCGTTCTTCGAGACTGTGCTGCTGTTCGTTAGTCACCTCGAATTTCAAAGCGTTGATATGAGCATTCGTCTGTTGTACACTTTGAATTACCCGCTGCTGAAGATCCTGGTACGACTTTTCCAACGAGGCCAGTCTGTTATTCATAGCCGAACTGGTTGCGCGACTCTCGTGCAACTCTTCCAAAATATCTTTTCTTAAAGCTTCGTTGGTCAACTGTAAACTCGAGGCCAGAGTATCCCTTAATTCTTTCACCTCTCTCTCACCTTCGTACACTGCAGTTCTAAGTAAGCCAAGTATCGATACAACCTTGTTTTTCCATGCAGTCTCTCTTAGCGACCTGATTCTCTCGTCGAGAGAGTCAGACGTCCGTTGAATTTTGCCATTCAGTCCACGAAAACATTGACTTCTATGTTCGTGCAGCTCGTTACGTGGCACGTAAGCACCGCATTTTTCCGGACATTCTTCCAACACCGCACCGCAGTGAGTCAAGTGATCGGAAAGATATTTCGAGTCCATCGTCTCGGTACAGAAGTAACAGGTAAACGATCGCGATTGACTCGACGACGGCGAGAAGTTCATGCTTGTTGCTAAATTTGAACGATGGCTAACTGTAAAAGCGAGCGATTAACGATGTCTCTCTCGCGAACGGCACTCGCGCGCGCGCGTTAACACCTTCTGAGAGTCGGACGACGACGACGACGACGACGACGTCGACGGCTGCGGTGGCGCTAAAATTGTGACTCAGCGGCGGCACAGAGATAACACGCCGAACTCTTTTTCTTCACGAGCCTGATAAGTGATATCGCGATAAGAGAGCAATATACTCGTTCGCCCGCGCTTGCGTAATTCTGCTATATGAGCGACAAGTAGGACACGAGTAAACATTCGCTGCCTATAGCCTGGCTTGGCGTTCAATGCGAGCGAGCTTTTACTATAGCTGCGCTTACCTCCGTGGCCATTGGAAGACCCAAGATATAGGCGCAGGCGCAGCTGAAGAACGTGATGGTCGTCTCCCAGAGTTTCATCATTTTCGTATTGATTGCCATTATGCCGGTGATCACGCAGTGCCAGATCGCCAGCTACACAACAGACAACGAACAATTCGTTGACAGGTCTGCGTTGGAGATTTTGATTTAAAATAAAATCTGGGTTGAACGCTTCACCTGCTGAGCAATTCCGAAGAGTATGAGTATGAAGTAAAACAGCACAGCCCAGAACGGCGAGACCTGCTCGGTACCGAGCACAGCCAAGGTAGCTGGTACGAGCTCGGTGGCCAATCTCAAGGCTTGATAACCGGATTCGGCGCTCTGCTGTTCAACTCCAAGTCCAGGTCTCGTAACGCGCTGACCCACGACAAACGATGCGTGGGTCATAAACCGCTCGGGCGTACTTGCATAGCCTGATGGCGCTGGTTGATTGTAGGGTCGCATAAAACCGTACGTTGTCATTCGTTCTGCAATTAAAGTTTCATTGCGTGCTTATTTGGCTTCATGTCATTGGGGTGGATAATCATATTCATTTTTCTGCGATGTATTTTTACATCTTTCTCCGCAATTATTCATATCTAAATTGTACTGTATAATTATAAGCTTCGAAAGACGTATGACTGTGATAGCAACGACTGATTGTCAGTAAAGAATTTAAATCAAAGAATTTATTTGATTAAATTATCCAAATTATTCTTCGTTAACGCTGCTCTCGGTCGGCATTGGTAAATAAATAATGAAAAATGAAAAAATGCAGCCATGCCGTCAACTGACAAAATTATTCACATATTGCGAACAACTTATTTACTAAATTTTCGTAAATCACTAAATCTTTGTTTTGCCTTCTTTTATTAATAAATATTAGCGTCTAGAAGCATCATTCTCCTAACTGCTGACTGTCTGTTGACTAAAATTTCAATAACGACAAATTAAAGAACGACACTGACAATGTCGTGAAACTAAATCGTGAAATTCGAAAAAGATAACAATAATGATGAAATTTCAAAATAATAATCATGAGCTTGTAAAAGTTATTTATTAGTCATTCGTCATATATTCATTATTAGTTTATTTTCATCTTCCTCCATGCAAACAACGGACGCAAAAAGTCGAACGAAAATAAAGCATTGATTTGTAATTCAAAACATACTCTGACAAAAAAGTCTCCATAACGCCATTCAAGTCTCAAAGTAGGTCGACTGACAATATTTATGCAAAATCATATTAAACGCGAAAAAATGTCGCAATAATTCATAAGAAGCTTCAGTTCTATATTTACCGTAAGTCTATTATTATTACGTGTGACGAGGTCGTAAAAAAACAAATTCAAGGAGCGACAAAAAAAAAAAATCATCGGTCATCGCCGTAAATGAGGTGCACTCACTCACCGAACGAGCTGGTCGTGTAGACGTAACCGTGATACTTGAGTATCTGCACGCATGTGTTGGCGAGGAAGGCCGCAAGTAATAGAACCACCAGCGTCAGTACTATTACTAAGCTTGTGTCCCTTTGCAGCAGATGTTTGTGTTTGTTGTGCGCGGCGATCTGTTGGATAAATCATAAGTATTGCGTGACAAGGAAATGAATTGGCAGTTGAACGTTTTATTTTTTCGTGGTATCGCTTGTTCTATTATTTATTTCATTTGAATATCAAGACTTTCAGATCAGTACGTAGATTACTTGATTCGAGTTATTTTCTATGATCGTCTAATTTACAATTTTTCATTGTGCAAAAGTGACGTACTGATCGGGTGAGAGTTTGTTCAATGTATAGAGCAAAGTTATTTTATCGCCAATTGAATCGATCATTGTATTTTTGTTGCTGCGATCGAATTCACCTTACGCTTGCACGGATGTACATTAAAAAGTATTTATCAGCATTGCCAACAATTAAAAATCCATTGGATGGTATTAAGAGCGCAATCGATTGCGCAACAATGATCGCGTCCTTGCAGCCGCATCGCATTGCCAATAACGAAAATACCGAAGAATGCAGCAATCGATATAATTTCCATGGATGTTCTCGGCCGCGAAGAAGGATTTGGCGCGCAAAGTATCATAATCAGGAATAAAGAGGTGCGATCGAGACGCAGACCTGCATAGCAGCAGCGCCGAGCAGTCCCCACGTGAGGAACACTTCCGAGGCCGCAGCGACCCACGAGCGACCGTTGATGAAGAATTCAGCCCACACGGTGGCCGGGAACAATTGATTAGTGGATCCCGGCGGCGTCAAGCCTAGTAGCTTTGTGCACAGCACCAGCGTGCCGAATATCGGCACCAAGGTGAACACATAGACAACTTTGCCGTACGAGCGCAGCCCTGCAATCCGGCATTCCATCGTTATTTACCGTTGGCCTGGCGCGCGGTCAACGCGAGACAGCTCACCTTTACTGAGCGAAACGAAGACGATCATCCAGACCACGGCGAGGTTGAACGCAACTTGAAACTTGAGCGTGACGACGCCGGGATCGGGCTCGTTCAGATGATGCCTCTGCAGAACTGCCCCGCTGAAGTAGTCCGGCACCGTCTCGTGCAGCTTGTAAGTGCCGTTGTTGCTGTTGTTGTTGTTGTTGTTGCCGTTGCCGTTGCCGTTGGCGTTGCCGTTGGCGTTGTTGGAGCCGTACACGCTGCCGTAGCCGATGCTGCTGTAACTCGTGCTACTGATCGTCGGCTTGAAGTCTTCGCGGTAAAGCAAGAACGGCTCGGCCCACCTGTATCTGTCCAATTTCGTGATGAACGAGTCCCTGCGAACGAATAAATAATCTTCTCAATCGGGAACCAAGCCGACACGAAGCTCGGGCCTAATCATCGTTCGCGAGCGGCGCGCTTATTAATAATGAATACCTGAAGTAGACGAAGATCCAGGAGACGCCGACGATGCTGTAGATGCCGATGAAAGCGTGAGCGGTGAGAAGGGCGATGCCGACGCCCTGGAACAGCGGCGATATCTTCCACATGTCGACCGCGCCAGTCGACAGCCTTTGTCCCAGGCATACCTGCAGTGTCAGCAGAGGTATGCCTATCAGCAGCGAGAGGACCAGGAACTGTACGATAAAATTCGCTGGAAGCAAATTTTTTTGTCACCGTTGCGATTACGAGTCTGAGAAATGTGGTCGCGTCATTCGATCGGCTCCTGCTGTCGATCGTCGATCACTGGCGACTCTCGTTACACGGAGCGCGCATACGAATGACGTAACCGAAACGATACGTCCGAACGTCTGGAACTCGCTGCTCCAAGGTCGAAGATCTCGCGCTCAATTCTCACCTCCGAACTGGATGCTGAGTATGGCGAATCGGCTGATGTTGAAGAGGCCGAGGGTGCAGCCGAGGCAGGCGAGCGCGGGACTGAGCGCGTGCGGCCACTTGCCCAGCGGGTTCTCGTCCTCGTCCTCGTCCTCGCCGCGCTCGTCGTCCCTGTCACCACCGTCGCGCTGTCGCTCGCACGCTCTGCGAAACAACCAGAAGACACCGCCCGTCAGCCGCTTGGCACTGAAGAAATCGAGGCGTCCAACGTGTCGTTTTGCTTGTGTCGAGTCGGCGATGGTTCCACGGCTCGGTCGATTGTCGTTGAGCCCTATGCGCGACTGGCTGCGCGAAAATTCGAACTCTTTTCTTTCGACGTCGCGCGAGTCGCGGGGTCGCAGAGACGCAGCCTCCCGATCGAAATCTTGGCGATGGTCTCCTTCCTATTCATCAGCGACTTGCTCCGCGTGCACCTTCGCGGCGGCGACACGAGTGCCAGATGGAACGACGATAAGCTTCGTCGTCGAGCTTATGAATGCTCAGCCGTGTACCTGCCCTTTCCATTCGGCGCTGCAGATGACGATGTGCAATGAGATAGCGATGAATAGCACGCGAGCTAATCTTTTTCTTTTTATTTATTTTTTTTTTCTCGTCGGTGGTGCTATTTGAATGAGACTATTTTGCGTGATCTGTATTCGGCATTGATTGTTCGTGAAATGTAGTTCTTCTCATTTTGATACACGGAAATCCCGTTGACTAGTCGTTATCACCAAATTTCAATAGAGAAAAGTAGATTCGTTCGGGCGATTGTTCATGCAACTGATTGATACGCGACGTCGATTAAAACAGCTTTGAAAAAAAAGAAAACATCATGGTAATCTAAATGACAATAAAATTGAATTGAAAGTCTGCCAAATCAGATTTTGCTCAACCCAGCCCTGCAAAACAAATTCCGACCGAGAGAGAGGGAGCGAAAGGATGGGAGGAGGGAGCGGAAAATAAACGTTACAGCGGTGACATGAATAATTCACGAGAAGTGTCAAACCTATAGCCGCATGATCGTCATCGTCCGAGCGTGGCGAGTGTTAACGAACAAAATACTTGTCGAAACGGGAGTTTCGCGACGGCCGTTTTAAGTGATGGATCGCCTCCGCCTCCTCGCCGCGAGAAAGACTGTTGTAGGCGATGCATCATGCAGATATATCGACGCTTACTTCGTGAATTTTCCCATTAGCTCGAGGAAAGGAGCGGCGGAAATATATATCCCGCGCGCAAGCCTCTGGAAAAATTTATCACGATCGATCGAATTTAAGGCGAAGCAATCAGGCCAAGTGCTCCGCGAATTTCCGATGCCGGTGTCATCGATGTGGCTTAGACGAGCCGTTCTTATTGCACACGCGATTGTTTTCCCCGCGGATGAATGTAAAACGCGCAATAATTTGACAAGCTTTGGCCCTGATTCACGACTGGATTAGGGAAATCACGACGACAGCGTATCGACTGGATTATGCGTTTCACGTGCTGCCTAAAAGATAAAGTAAGCTCGAAATGTTCTTCGAGACGTAAAAATCTTTTGACAGCCCTTTGAAGAATAGAGGTACTCGAGCATCATTTGGAAATTTTATTTCGTGCAGATTTTCGATGAGGATGATGCGCCAATGTACGAGACATTGTAGCAAAGACAGTATTCAATCTCGACCTAAGTAGAAAAGAGAGTGGGGAAAACGGGCTGTTTACTGTTGTCGTTTTTCATGAAGAAAAGAAAAATAGAACATCGCTGCTTTCTTCTTGCCGAGCTTTTTTCAATTCCAATCTCGAATTGGGCGAAAATCAATTTCGACGCACAAATAGATTGCCGTTATTACCTATAGAGAAGCAACGTGTAATATTCTTATAGGCGGATATTGTTTACGAACAAATGTCTTATTATTTTCATCCGAAAAGCAACGAATTCACGTGAATCTTTAGGGATATTGTTGTTTATCTCATAGACGTGAGCATCTTATAGTGTGAATACATTAATTTTGTGTCGATTCTGATCGCGACATCTAGCACAACGTCGATATACAGTTTGAAATGAAATCAAGGTGCGATGGAGTAAAATCAAATTGTTATTTACTGTATACTACTTATATTATTTCGGCTAGATGTGTTATTTTACCATCTTGTCACCTTTCGATAAAGTAAGAGCCTCCCTACGTGTATTCGAAAAATAAATAAATGTCTTTTAGTAAATCTAACTAATTCTCAATGGGCAAACACAAACTAAACTGTTATTGCCATAGGTTCCCTTGTTATCACTATGGCAGCACATGAATAAACATGTATGCGGTGGATCGATCACCGCTGAATATTGGACAGTAAAAGCAGCTCATTGCACAGTGTAAATTTGAAAAGCGTACGCGCACGTAGCGTAAAGTATCGAAATAAAGCTAATATAGAGTTAGAACATGTCAAGGCATGCTCACCATCGGATCATTGTTGAGGAAAGTGTCCCGAACAAGCGGAAGAGCTCGTCGATTTGCAACATTGAAGAAAATATTCGTAAACACAAAGCAGCTTTGTTTAAACGCAGAATAGTTAAAGAACGAATTCAATTCGAAGCGCATCGGTAGTCGATAAAAATCCAGAACACCCTACCGCGAGAAAATGACACAGTAATCACACTAGGATTCGGCGAGCAAACAAGAAAATTCCACGACAATCGTTAATGCAACTGGTGATTGTTAGACCAAATACGTTTGTTTCATGCACGTTGACGTTTTCGACGCGGGCAACGGCGCTGCCGACGTCTGCAAGGGTGACTCTGGTGGCCCAGCCATTATCAACGGCAAACTGGCTGGCCTTGTTTCTCATGGTCCTTGGTGCACGAGGTACAAAGAACATGATCATGAATCACGAATGTACGCTCGGGTGGATGCACTTCACGACTGGATTTTAAAATGTCGCGTCCGTAAATCACCGAACGACAACCAAATTTCGTTAACGAGTAAACCATTCGACGCGGTCATCTTTATTTCGTTGTATGTATCAGATCGAGTATATCGAGCTTTCGCGCTATCAACGCTGACTGCATTATCAGCGGAGAGCGAATATTTTTCAAACTGGGACTGACAGGATAAACGCGCAACTGTTCAATATTCTAAAATCGTTTTGCATAATGAGACGTTAACAAGATTGCGGAAACAAATTTAGAATCGGATGCGGAGTTTTGCCACCGACGCGTGCAGACGGTCAGTGGTATACAGCGGCATTAACGATTTTCCTTCGCTTATACACGACGGAGCTTATAGTGAACGTCTGGCATTACGGCAGCCTTGAACTTGAATAATTAAGCACCTCGCGTCTCTTTGTGTCTGCCGTGCTGCGTATATACTGCGATTCTCGATTCCCGAGTGTTCCTCCTTAATGGATTGCGCTGCAGAATTCAACGTTGATTTATCAAATGGCGATTGCCTTGAATATTTCAATAACCGACTTCTCCTTTCTAATTCACGGAAGATTTGAGAGAAGGTTTCCAAGCTTCGCGTTCGGTCATTTTTTTTATCTTACTTCTTTCGCAGTGTTTGCCGTCGATGCAAAGTTGACGAAGTCGTGACGACTGATTGATTTGATTTTCCATCGAGAAGCAACGAATTTGTATAAAGAAAAATTACTCCAACCAATTATCGGAATAATAAAGTAGACAGATATGGTAATCGAATAATTTTTGTTTAGCAGTTATCAACTTGCTGATATTGTTTCGTTTGGTCCATTGTGTAAAAATGACAACATGTATTGTTGCGGACCAGGTACTTATGCTCGAGTCGAGTTTAGAGCGAGAAGAAGTCCCCTTGAAGCAGGAAGTTATGCCTTCTCCTGGCTATTTTTAAAGAAATCGCCAAACTACAAGATAAATTTTTCCATTGCACTGGTTGGATTAGCTGATTCACTGTCGTATTAAATAACGAAAATTCATGTAAATTCGAACGATAGTCTTCCGACATTCTTTCAAAAATATCTCAATGTCACTTTTTTTTCAAAATTTCAATCATCTACTTTACGCGATAAACGATAATATTTAATACTTTTTTTTTGGTTTCGTTCAACGTTAAGACATTTTTTTTGCCGATTAAGATACTATTAACGAACGATTTGCTCGGTATATACGCGTACATTAAAGTCAATACGAAACGATCGTTGAACTCGCGTTTGTAATACGTTGCCTAGTTCGTTCGATAAATTTGAATGTATACAGAAATAGGTACGTTCAAGTGCCATCTGTCGTCACCGTTCTCTCGACATGACACTTCCGCGAGCCAAACAAAAGTCAAGTTCACCACAACGCGAGGCAACGGTGGCCGCGTGCCTCGAGAAGTGTACTCGGCGATCGATATAAAGGCTGACCACTCTCGCGCGGACGTATAGCATGCCGGATAAAAACCGGCAGCGAAGGTCGCCACCACCTACCCGCGGCTATTTTCAGAAGCTTCAGTTTAAGCGGGTTGCACAGAAATCTAGAACTCACGGCTTTTCTGGCCCCGCGACATCGATTGCGTATCTCGGCCTGCGCGCACGGGACGCGTCAATCACAATGGCGCTGTCGGGGAGAACGGCGCAACGGAAAAAAACAACAACAACAAAATCGATACGCAGTGGCGTGTAAAGAAACAACAAGCTTGCCCGCGAGCAAAGTCAAGTTTAAGTGCCTTTACTTCGCCGCGGCGATGGATCTCTCGAGCTTCTGCGGACGGACATCTGACTTACGCTAGCCCGAATAATGCACCGAGCGTTGTTACCGTTAATCCAGCAGCTCGTCGGCCGAAGTTCTTTTCATTCTTTCCGACGCACGCGCCTCGACGATACTCTGACAATTAATTGAAGATCGCCGCGTGGAAAAATAAGCAATCGGATAATCGTCAGGGCAAAGCGCAAGAAATATTATTCGCCCACCGTCAGGCAACTCGGAAAAGGTCAAGCGCGCGCGAGTCGTACAGTGAAAGCGCGACCGGCAGCCAAGTGTATTATATACATCTCGTCACAGAGATCGATCGTGCATTGCAGTCTCGAGTGCGGGTGTCTGTCTAGAAGGCGAATGGGCCTTTCTTTCTATCTATCTCTCTCTCTCTCTCTCTCTCTCTTGCCGCACGAAAATGGTTATGGCAGTCTCACGACTCAATGTACGTACAGCGTTTGCGAATTCGGATCGTGGGAAAGCTACAATA